CAGCCAGTGAGCGGGAACCGGTCTGTATGTGGGATCCAAACCCTCGGGCGGGAGCACCACCACACTCCCAAGCGGCGCACTGTAGCAGTGCGCCACCGGGCTGGCTCCAATGTTTGGACTTTTTAAAAGTCTCGTTTTATTTTTTTTTTTTTTGTCTTTTTTCGTGTCCGGCATTTCATGTCCGGCAACAGATCGCAACCCTCAGTGTTGCGCCCGTACCGGACCGGGACCGGCAACGGGATCGCAACCCTCGGTGCTGCACCCGCCCCTCGCTCAGCCAGTGAACGGGAACCGGTCTGTATGTGGGATCCGAACCCTCGGGAGGAGCGCCGCCGCACTTCCCAAGCGGCGCACTGTAGCAGTGCGCCACCGGGCCGGCCCTAAAAGTCTCATTTTATAATTACTACCAGCTACTGAAATTTTTTTAGCATTTGATTTTGTTCAAGGGCTCCCATCAACATTTGCTAATGTTTTCCCTGCGAAGTTAGTCACCATAGGACTGGGGAATAACCAGAAAATTCTGCCACAAATGACAGGGTCTAATTATTGTACCCCATAAAACAAGCCACAAGCGGACTTTGGTGGTAGAATTATTTACCTGCTCATCTAGAGCTCATTCCAATTTGGCCTTTAATATATAACTCTGTTTGGGGCTCAGATCCATGATTTCTGGAGGAAGACATGTGACTTTAATTTAATTAGGCCTGTTAAGGTTTAGTCACCACCCTAGCAAAGCTCTCTCTCCCTGTCCCCAACTGCTATCCCCAGTACATGCTGTACTCCACAGCACTCCAGTACTGCCTGGTTTACAGCTTTGGCCGTAAGACAAAGGTAAATGAGAGGCAGAATCAAGAATTAAGATTTTTATCAAGAATTTCTAGATTGTTACTAAACAATACTAGGTTGTTCAGTTACCCTGAAAATCTTCACGCACATGCTACAGAAAAGATTTTTTAAAAATATTCAATTGCTGGAACATGGACACAGCAAGCCCAAGCCAACTTTAAGCTAAGAAAAGGGAAAAAAGTCAGAATAAATTGCTCTTTCTTTTTTTCAAGGTTCTTTCTGTACTTGCAACTGGCAACTTGTAAACTCATCCAAAGTCACCAGACAGAATTCCTGATACATGATGGCCAACATTATCTAGGGGTAATTCAAAATTAGATTTTTTAAAATGAGAGGGGGTGGAAGGAAGGGAGGAGATGAAAGGACAAAAG